TACCCAAGGAATTAAGAAAACCCATTTGCTTTCAAAACATGCCAACAACTTGAATGATCCAAAAAGGCATATCTACTATCAGGGTGGGGATTTGAGTTCTCACATCTTTAAAAAGACGGCATGTTCTTGTTAAGAGTCAGAGAGTTCTGAAGTTACAGTTTATGCAGCACAGAATGTACATTGATTATTTTTAAAATAAGAACCGTGAGGGGCGCCTGGGTGGCGCAGTCGGTTAAGCGTCCGACTTCAGCCAGGTCACGATCTCGCGGTCCGTGAGTTCGAGCCCCGCGTCGGGCTCAGGGCTGATGGCTCAGAGCCTGGAGCCTGTTTCTGATTCTGTGTCTCCCTCTCTCTCTGCCCCTCCCCCATTCATGCTCTGTCTCTCTCTGTCCCAAAAATAAATAAAAAATAAACGTTGAAAAAAAAATAAAAAAAAATAAATAAATAAAATAAGAACCGTGAAAAGATAACACATCGGCGTTGGCCAAGGGAGTAACAGGACAGGAAATGCTGAGACTTTGAAGAGCTGTTCAGAAGTCATGGGGTTCACTTTTATCAAGAGGGGAAGTTGTTAGATTGGTTTCTTAGGTCGGATGACTGAGGTTAGAGTGGTGTTTGACAATTACATGGGAAATGGACAGTGAAAAAAACGTCACATGTGAAATGCAAATAACTATTGTGCATTGTTTGAAACAATTAGGTTTGAACGACAAAATTCATGAGGGCAGTGGGTAAGAAGTGGAGCCAGAAAAATTCCTGCTGTGGTTTAACTGTCTCAGCTACAGCAAGAAACATGGTACCGAAACCTATCCAAGGTAGGCCATAGGCTTATGATGCGTTGTTAGCTTTTGCGTAGCACTTTAATTTTTTTTTTTAATGTTTATTTATTTTTGAGAGACAGAGACAGAATGGGAGTAGGTTGGGGCAGAGAGAGAGGGCGGCACAGAATCTGAAGGAGGCTCCAGGCTCCGAGCTGTCAGCACAGAGCCTGATGCAGGGCTCGAACCCACGAGCTGTGAGATCATGACCTGAGCCGAAGTCGGATACTCAACCGACTGAGCCACCCAGGCGCCCCTGCACAGCACTTTATTTTTTTATTTTAAAAATTTTTTAAGTTTATTTATTTTTGAGACAGAGAGAGACAGAGCATGAGTGGGGGAGGGGCAGAGAGAGAGGGAGACACAGAATCGGAAGCAGGCTCCAGGCTCTGAGCCATCAGCCCAGAGCCCGACGTGGGGCTCGAACCCACGGACCGCGAGATCGTGACCTGAGCCGAAGTCGGATGCTCAGCCGACTGAGCCACCCAGGCGCCCCATGCATAGCACTTTAAAAGCACAACTTACAGGGGTGCTCGGGTGGCTCAGTTGGTTAAGTGTAGATTCTTGGTTTCGCCTCAAGTCATGATCTCACGGTTCATGAGTTCAAGCCCCACATTGGGCTCTGACCTGATGGTGCGGAGCCTGCCTGGGATTCTGACTCTGTCTCTCTCTCTCTGTCCCTCTTGCTGTCTTTCTCTCTCTCTCAAAATAAATAAATAAACTTAAAAAAAAAAAAAAGCACAACTTGCCTTTTCAGTAGAAACAATGCAAAGCGTTTAGCATGATCAGGTTGCCTAAAGTCAGGAGTTGCTCTAACGTGGGCTCAGGAAAGGAAAAGGCCTATTTAACGTCTGACTCCCAGGAGAGGGGCTCTGGAACATTTAGGTAGCTCTTGTAGTGATTCAGCTAAGAGAAATATGGAAAAGCCCAACACGTCTAGTTATCTCTAGTATCTCTCCTTGAAAAGGTGAAGAGACGAAAGACGGTGAAACCCAGTAGCCACCCGAAGAGTGTCAAAGTCGCAAAAGGCATCTTAATGGTTTTGCCGTCTTGAGTTAGAGCTTGAATATGGGAAATGACACAAAGGAATTATCAGATCAGATATGAACACACATAAGGAGAAGAGCATAAATAATAGGTGCCTAAAGGTAGGAAAGTTATGACAATCTTTGTCAGATGGACAATTTAAAAGAAAAACAGTAAAAAGCAACAATAATTCCTAAGAATCCTAACTTTCTCAGAAGTGAAGAGTTTTTGTTTAAAAGTGGTTCCAAAGCATGTCAAAAGCAAAATAAAGGATATTCAAAGATCATTCTTTTCAGAACTATTTTTCATCATTCACAAACTTTTATTAATTCACATGACTTGATATGTATGTGTTTAGACCTACACTTAAGTGATAAGTTTATAGCTTTAGAAGATAAAACATATACCATATTGAATTTACCATCTTTGTTTTCTTAAAATTTTTTTAATGTTTATTTATTTTTGAGAAAGAGAGATAGAGCATGAGCAGGGGAGGGGCAGAGAGAGAGGGAGACACAGAATCCGAAGCAGACTTCCTGGCTCTGAGCTGTCAGCACAGAGCCCAACGCGGGGCTCAAACCCACGAAGCATGAGACCATGACCTGAGCTGGTCAGCCGCTTAACAGACTGAGCCACCCAGATGCCCCTGAATTTACCATCTTAATAAAACCTCAGCAATTTCCTTGAAAACCCAATAAAACATATCCACCACCTTACATATTTGTATCTCTTTGCAAATACTATTTAAGCACTCATTTTATTACAGCTTTTAACCAAAGAAACTAACTTTTGTTCCCTCTCAGTTGCAGAGAAAACTGGGAGGGGAAGTAACTGAACACTTTCTGCCCCACTTAAGTACCTTAGCCTACCAGCACTCCTGAAGGACGCCTGATTGTGTACTGTAAACACACATTCCACATTCATTCATTCTGTATGTCTTTAGTGTGGAAAATGGTATCACGCATGTTAATATGACTCAAGTGCATCACTTACTAATCCACTAACTGATAGCCACTCTTAAAGAATAAAAGTAGGAGGCAGATATAACTATGTTAGCTTGTTTTTATATTCTTGACCTTTTGGAATTTTAATCTAGTAAGAAATTGGTCATCCAAATGTTATTTATTAGTTAACTCAATTAGCCCAAGGTCTCAAAGTCAATTTAGGATCTTGGATTATGATTTAAGCTGAGACTACACAATAATGCAATCACTGTTGACATCAAAAAATATTGTCAGGGAAGTGATATTATAAATTTTATGTAGAAGTGGAGTAACTGAGTCTAAATAGGTTTTAACACTGTTTTGAAATTCTTAAAGGTAAATCTTTTAAAAAGATATAATTATGACTCAGTGTAGTTGGACATATACATTTCTTAACATTTTTATATTTTTAAATAATTAGTAATGTAAGCTTATCTGAAGAGCAAGACTAGATTTAGGAACTTCAAAGATTTAGGAACTTCAGATTAGTAAGACTTTCAATGAATAAATAAATCCAAGTCTTGCAAAAGCTAGGATATTAGTTACCATTATTTTTTTTCCTTGTTAAAAACAGAGAAAACATACTACTATTTTAATTTTTTTAATGTTTATTTATTTATTTTGAGACAGGGAGAGAGAGCATGTGTGTGTGTGTGAGTGGGAGAGGGGCAGAGAGAGAGGGGGAGAAAGAATCCCAAGCTGACAGGGCAAAGCCAGACGTGGGGTCAATCTCACAAACTGTAAGATCATGACCTGAGCTGAAATCAAGAGTTGGATGCTTTGGGAATGCAAGCTGGTGCAGCCACTCTGGAAAACAGTATGGAGGTTCCTCAAAAAACTAAAAGTAGAACTACCCTACGACCCAGCAATTGCACTACTAGGCATTTATCCACGGGATACAGGTGTGCTGTTTCGAAGGGACACATGCACCCCAATGTTTATAGCAGCACTATTGACAATAGCCAAAGTATGGAAAGAGCCCATGTGTCCATTCATGGATGAATGGATAAAGAAGTGGTATATATATACAATGGAGTATTACTTGGCAATCAAAAAGAATGAAATCTTGCCATTTGCAACTACATGGATGGAACTGGAGGGTATTACACTAAGCGAAATTAGTCAGAGAAAGACAAATATCATATGACTTCACTCATATGAGGACTTTAAGAGAGAAAACAGATGAACATAAGGGAAGGGAAACAAAAATAATATAAAAACAGGGAGGGGGACAAAACAGAAGAGACTCATAAATATGGAGAACAAACTGAGTGTTACTGGAGGGGTTGTGGGAGGGGGGATGGGCTAAATGGGTAAGGGACACTAATGGGTAATCTACTCCTGAAATCATTGTTGCACTATATGCTAACTAATTTGGATGTAAATTAAAAAAAAAATTAAATTAAAAAAAAAAAGCCTAGAAAGTAACAAAAAAAAAAAAAGTGCCTGAGCCACCCAGGCACCCCCATATTACTGTTTTTAAATCAAAACAATCCAACCAGTAGATCTAAAGCATATAGAGTTAAATATTTTTATTTTCTTGAATTCTTCTAAATTTACATGAAAAATTACCAGTTTCTGGTTCTATGCTTATAGAATGGAGAACTGATAATGTTAAAATGTCTATGCTACACAAAGCAATCTATACATTTAATGCAATCACTATCAAAATACCAACAGCATTTTTCACAGAACTAAAATAAGTAATCCTAACATTGGTATGGAATCACAAAAGACCCAAGTGGCTAAAATAATCTTGAGAGAGAAGAACAAAACTGAAGGTATCACAATCCCAGATTTCAAGTTATACTACAAAGCCGTAGTAATCAAAACAGTATGGTACTGGCATACAAATAGACACACAGATCAGTGGAACAGAATAGAGTCCAAAAATAAACCCACACTCATATGGTCAATTATCTATGACAAAGGAGGCAAGAACATACAATGGAGAAAAGACAGTGTCTTCAATAAATGATGCTGGGAAAACTTAACAGCTACATGCAAAATAATGAAACTGGAGCACTTCCTTATACCATAAACAAAGATAAACTCAAAATGGATTAAAGACCTAAATGCTACAAGGAATCCCATAAAACTCCTACAAGAAAATATAGGCAGTAATTTCTCTGACATTGGCTATAGAAACATTTTTCTGGTTATGTCTCCTCAGGCAAGGGAAACAAAAGCAAAATTAAACTATTGGGACTACACCACAATAAGAAGCTTTTGCACAGCGCAGGAAACCATCAACAAATAAGAAGGCAACCTACTGAATGGGAGAAGACATTTGCAAATGAGATCTCCAATAAGGGGTTAATATCCAAAATACATCAAGAACTTACCAATTTACCACCAAGAAAATAATCTGATATAAAAATGGGAAGAGGATCTAAATAGACGTACAAAGAAGACATACAAATAGGCAGCACACCCATGAAAAGATGCTCAACATCACTGATTACCAGGGAAATATAAATCAAAACTTCAACGAGGTATCACCTCACACCTGTCAGAATGGCTAGACTAAAAAGGACAAGAGATAACAAGCATTGGTGAGGATGTAGAGAAAAAGGAACCCTCTCACACTGTTGGTGGGACTGTAAGTTGGTGTGGCCACTGTGGAAAACAGTATGGAGGTTCCTCAAAAAATTAAAAATGGAATTACCGTATGATGCAGTAATTCCACTACTGGATATTTATTCAGAGAAAATCAAAATACTAATTTGAAAAGATATATGCACCCCTATGTTTACTGCAGCATTTACAACAGTCAAGATATGGAAGCAACCCAAGTGTCCAATAGGTGAACAGATAAAGATGTGGTATATATATACAATGGAATATTACTCAGCCATAAAAAAGAACGACATCTTGCCATTTGCAAAAATATGGATAGATCTGAAGGGTATTTTGCTAAGTGAAATAGGTCAGACAGAGAAAGGCAAATACCGTATGCTTCTCACATGTAGAACTTATGAAACAAAAAAAAGAAAAAAAAGACAAACAAAAAATCAGACTGTTAAATACAGAGAACAAACTGATGACTGCCAGAGGGGAGGTTGGTGGGGAGATGGGTGAACTAGATAAAGGGGATTAAGAGCATAATTATCAAAAGTGATGAACAATGAGTAATGTACAGAATTGCTGAATCATTATATTGCATACCTGAAACTAATATAACACGGTATATCAATTATACTTCAATAAAAAAAGATTATTAGTTTCTATAAGTCAATCAAAATAGAGGCATCTTCAATTTTAAGGTGTTTTATAATGAAATTTATAAATTCTCTGTGGAGGCAGGCAAATATACACCAATCCATTTGTTTAGAAATTATTTATACCTGTATTCATTAGAGTTCTCCAGAGAAACAAACCAATGGGATGCATACGTATAGAGAGAGACTTATTATAAGGAATTGGCTTACAATATTATGGAGGCTGGCAAGTCCAGATCTCCAGTGTGGACCAGAAGGCTTGAGACCCAGGAGAGTCGATGTGCAGGTGAAATCCAAAGACAGTCTGTAGGTGAATTCCTTCTTGCTCAGGGAGGCTGGTGTTTTTGTCCTATTCAGTTCTTCAACTGAATGGAAAAGGCCCACCCACATTTGGGAGAGTAATCCAGATTTAAATATTAATTTCATCCCCAAATACCCTGTAAACTGATACGTGATGAACCATCACATACCCATACATTGAAAATACCTTATCAGATTGTTAGGAAAGCTAGGTAACACTATGGAGGAGTTTAGAGATGCATTTCTCTCTATTTTATTAGATGCTATTTTCTCTATACTTGCTGAGTTAGATTGAGTTGAACTAAGGGTTCAGCTTTAAGATTAACACCTTGCTGTTGGCTCAAAAGACTTCCCTTCTATCTTGACACTGCTCATTTGGATATATTTCTACTGAACTTCCCTATTTCTTTTAGTAGAGAATGGAAAAAGAAAAAGCCTTGTATGCAGAATCTTTATGATTTCTCAGGATGTCATGAAGTCTGACAAGCCAGAAGCAATCATTCCTACTCCATCTCCATTCCCCAAACACACATTCAGATATATTTAATTTGCTATCAATTAGAGTTCTTTATTTTTCAAGTCATGAAAAACCAGTTTCCATTGTTTCTTTTTTCTTTGTATACATTTCCCTCTCCTTTGATAGAAGGTATGCCTGTTTGAATTAGATATAACCTATGGTGTTCACAAATGACAAGAAAATCTTGTGGCTAATTAATTTCCAATAATTAACAACAAAAAGAAAGCTGTCTGATGGAACTTCTGGAATGCTGGTGTGAGTGGCCAAAACAATTTGGAAAAAAAAAAAAAAAAAAGAATAAAATTGGAAGATTCACATGTCCTAACTTCAGAACTTACTACAAAGCAGTAAGACGGTGTGGTTGTGGCATAAAGAAAAACATATAGTTCAATAAATTGAGAGTCTGGAAACAAACCCTTGCATTTATAGTTAATTGATTTTCAACAAGGGTACAAGATAATTCAAGGAGGAAAAGAACAGGCTTTTCAGCAAATGGTGCTGGGACAACTTGATATCCACATGCAAAAGAATGAAGTTGGGCTCTTTTCTCATATCATACACAAAAGACACTTCAAAATGGTCATATACTTAAACATAAGGCCTAAAACTATAAAATTCTTAGATAGAAACATAGGAGTAAGTCTGTATTACCTTGGGGTAGGCAAAGTCTTGTGAAATGTGACATCCAACACACAAGTGAAAAAGAAAAAAATAATAAATGGATTGCATCAAAACTAAAAACTTCTGTGTTTCAAAGGGCACCATCAGTGAAAAGTGAAAAGAAAATCCACAGTGTTGCATCCACATGACTCCTGAAACAGAATGCTATGGGCACCGGTGACAGTCATAACAAAGTTTATTACAATGAGAGGCAAGGCCGACCGATCGGGACCAACATTCTTGATAAGAGTGTGGCACCCCGAACAGCTGGGGTACAGAGTTTTTATAGCTGATCACATTGTTTTATTATCAACTGGGAACAGAACAAAGAAATAGTTCCCAGATGAGTTAGAAACAGTTCCCAGATGGGGTGATTATTTTAGACTTTCTGCCGTTAAGTTGCAACCAGTGGATCTCCTTGACCCTGCCTCTGATGCTCTTTTCTTTGAACTTTTGTTTCCTTAATTGGTGAAGCCTAATTTACAAGAGTATGAAGCGTAATTTACAAGAGTAAAGCAAGGCTGTTATCTCTTAACCTTCAGTGTCAGAACAAAGCTGTTACTTTACAAGCTAAGCGTTAGCCCTACACTACAATTTAACCCTTACAACAGAATGGGAGAAACTGCTTGCTAATCATATACCTGATCAACATAGATAGTCATCAGAGAAATGTCAAATACAATGAGATATCACTTCATACCACTTGGATATTATAATCAAAAAAGACAGTAATAGGTGTTGGGGAGGATATGCAGAAATCGGAACCCTCATGTATTGCAGATGGAAATGCGAATGGTGCAGCCACTTTGGAAAACAGTCTGGCAGTTCCTCAAAAAAGTTAAACACAGATTTAACCACATGACCCAGCAATTCCACTCCTTGGCATCTTCCCAAGAGAAATGAAAACATATGTCCACACAAAAATTTGTATACAAATGTTCATAGCGTCGTTATTCATGACAGCCCCAATGTGGAAACCACCCAAATGTGTAGCAACTGATGAATGAATAAACAAAATGTGGTATATCCATACAATGGAATACCATTTGGTTATAAAAAGAAATAAAGTACTGATAGGTGTTACAGTATGAATGAACCCTGAAAACATTGTTAAGTGAAAGAAGTCAGGCACGAAATACCACATATTATATGATTCCATTTATATGAAATGTCCAGAATAGGCAAATCTCTCTATAGAGAAAGTAACGGTTGCCTAGGACTTGGGCTGGCGGTGGGGGCACAGCTACTGGGGAAAAAAGGGACTGGCTGCAAATGAGTCTGGGTTTTTTCTTTGGGGTGATGAACACATTCAAAAACTGTCACAGCTGCACAATTCCGTGGCTATACTAAAACCTACGATATTTTATGCTTTAAATGGATGAATTTCATTATATGTGGATTACCTCTCAATAAAGCTGCTTAAAAAGATTTCCACAAATATGGGGCCCCTGGGTGACTCAGGTGGTTAAGCGTCCAACTCCTGATCTCTGGATCTCAGCTTAGGTCTTGATCTTGGGGTCATGAGTTCAAGCTCTGTGTTGGGCTCTAGGCTGGGTATGAAGCCTAATTAAAAAAAAAAAAACATTTCCACAAATACAAAAGAAATATAATTATTAACAAACTGCTTAAAAGAGAAAATATTTTCTTAGTACTTCCTTCCTTTGCAAGGAGAGGCAAGGCTTTTTTCACTTATAGACCCTCAGAGAACTGGCAAAGGTAAATATAGAGCATAAGACAAAGAACACAAAGGATTCTATCAATACTTGAAAAATACAATAAATCAGCACTGTTAGATATGACATAACAATTTTTTTTAATGTTTTGTTTATTTTTGAGACAGAGAGAGACAGAGCATGAGCAGGGGAGGGTCAGAGAGAGAGGGAGACACAGAATCGGAAGCAGGCTCCAGGCTCTGAGCTGTCAGCACAGAGCCCGATGTGGCGCTTGAACTCACGAACTGTGAGATCATGACCTGAGCTGAAGTCGACGCTTAACTGACTGAGCCACCCAGGTGCCCCGACATGACAATTTTCAATGTTACAGTTGAGGGTGGCAAGTTCCTGATTAAATCATTGTATTGTGATCTCAAGGCATACATACCGGCTTCCCAAATAGTAGAAGCTTCAAGAAAAGCGGGAACAAAAAAAAGACAGACACTAAGCTCCCAGTCTTTGCCACTTAACAGAGATCAGATAATCAAGGCCTAACAACCACCTTTTTGTCCACCAATGGAAAGAAAAAAAAAGCAGCTGCTGTTGAGACAAAACTGTTCAGGACCCGGTTTCAGCATGCAAGAGTAACAAATTTTTTTTAAGTTTATTTATTTTTGAAAGAGAGAGGGAAAGGGAGAGAGGGAGAGAGAATCCCAAGCAGGCTGTCAGCACAGAACCCGATGTGGGGCTCAAACCGACAAACCATGAGATCATGACCTGAGCCAAAATCAAAAGCCAACTGACTGAGCCACTCAGGTGCCCCGAGTCACAAATCTTAATGGCCACTGAAAGAGTCCCACCAGAGGGGCCGAGGGA